ATATTGCACATCATTCGATTCGCAAGGTCTTCCCGAGTCCATTGGTAGCTTTCCCGTCTCTCTAGCTCAATTTGATCTAGAGTTATTGACGAAAAACTCTTATGACCCTAGTGACGTACGAATGACGTCACGCAAGGTCAACAATGCAAACGTGAGGCAAAAATGACTTCGATTGGACTTTCAGTAACCAGTGATGTCACTAGGCAGCTTAACCACGCCATTTGTAGGCTCTCTTCCCGAAATCACAATTCGAGACCATTACGGTGACGCAAAATAAGTACATTAATAGAAAGAACACCTTCCTAGGCTTTTTGCATACTACTTAATAATGGTCCAAAAATGTTTTTAAGTAAATAAAAATTCAAAAAAATTGGTCCCAAAGGCATAACAATGCAAATGAAAGGAAACTCGTTGTATTATATATCAAAAATAGTTTATATTTCAAAATTTTAAAAATGCATCTTATTCTTTGTTTCAATGCAAGTTCAATGCCATATAGCAATTGGCATTTGGATTATCCGTCTTAGAGTTACAGCCCGCCAAACTTGGCGCTGCAACGCAAGATCCAAAACATGTTATATGTACATTATAACTCAAAAACTACTAATCTGATTAGCCTGAAATTGTCACAGGAGGATTCAGAGCCCCTGATTGTCCCTTAGACCAATTATCGTCAAAATCCGAGAGATGAGGGTGTCAAATTGGAAAAAAGTGGTACGATCTATCGTGGAATGCCCCAGCTGGGCTAGGATATTTGACATCACCTACCCAACGGATGGTGCTATGGACAGAAAGTTATAATTACGGAACGCATGGTTCTGAACATTTTTAGTGGTTGGTGAGTGCTGAGTCTGCTGACGCAGGCAGAACTGCTTACAACCCATCCTCATCTAGGAAAAATAAAAACTGGTTTTGTCGCGCTGAAATGTGTTCAGCAATGACGTCCGGTGTTATTGCCATCACAGACAGCATGCCGTACTGCTTATCCAGCCATGCTCGCCGGACTGGCCCGGCCGGTCTTGACCCACCGTAACCGAGCGAGTCAGGTGTGTCGCAATCAAAGGTCACACAGGCGTCCCTGCCCCAGGCGCGGTCCCAAGCCACGATGTCCGGCACTGACTCAGCGCGGCTGACACGGCTCGTTTAGCCAGGCACACAAGCCTGGAATGGTAGACTATCCCGGTGAACACCAGAGTGCTGCAGTCAGTCTACCTCCCCGTAAATCCTCGGTCTCGGCGTGCACTACCGTAAAGTGGGGCTATTTGAGACAGTGGGGCTATTTGAGACGGTATGTACGGCAGTGGTTTAGTAAAACTGCTGTAAAATTATAACCGTTTGATATTTTTGATAAATTTTTGCTCAAGCTGATGTGGAATTTAACAATGAATTCCATGGAAAGGTTTTTTTTTGAAAATTTTGAAAAATTTTGAAAGAAATTTGGCATTAGATGAGAAATACAGAAAAACCACAACTTAAGTTACACGAAAAGCACCCCTACCTGCAGCATAACATGGTTGAAGTTTTAACAACTTTGCAACCTAATCCATCGTAACTATCGTTTTACTTATGGGCTAGGCACATTTTACATGACATTATATATTGTTAGCGGTAGTGACAATTGTGTAACCCGATGTCTCAGAGTCCCGATGGATGATACCCACCTCGTCAAACCTCAACGTATACCAAATACATCTGATGATTGTGATGCCAAGGCCCTAAAACAGGTGATATGATCCATCCTAAAGACTTACCGCCATCTGCCTAAGGTGTATCAAACGTTGGACCTAAGGAAAGGAACACCGATGAATTGGCCATAGGTTCATGGTACCTACTTACAGCAGCAAGCAATACTTAGGGGAAGCGGGGGTAACACCGCCCCCCTAAGCTTTTCGCCAAAATGAGAGAATATGTGTGAAGTCTCTTGGTAGTTATTGTTTTGGTTACAATATTTAAACATTTTCTCACGTGTTTTAGGTACTTATTTTGCATGCTCCTAAAAGGTTTTCATGTAGGTATCACGACTTTTAAAAATACCTTGCATATTTGCTGCCTACAAATTGTGTGGGTAACCCCGCCACCGGTGTTGATGTTAACCCAACCCATTCCTACGAAAGCTTTTAATTGTCCAGAGATCGTGTGCGATGAGTTTCCTGTCGGTAAGTGGTAATTTTCGCAAATAATCGGTAATGAACACCTAAATAGGTATAGGTTCATCAGCTGTTTGCCAGTTTTATACAGCTGGCAAGTGCTTGGTCGGGATGCATGAAAAATATAAAGTAAAAAATCAAATAAGCTGCTTATTCCCGTCTTAGGAACATCTACGAACATAAATAAAGCGTGTCTTTGGAGTTTCATCACTTATCACGCTACAAACAGGAAACACCGCAACCTCAATTGGGGTAACACCGCCACGGGGTGGCGGTGTTCCCCAATAAGTGATCACAAGCAAAAATCGCCAGCGGTAAGAATGTACTACACGGTTCAAGCAAACTTATCTTACTGGACAAAGCCGATCAGTTATTTTTCGATGTAATCAAGTAAATCAAAATGAGTCTCTACTTAAAGACATTCAAAAGTGCTCCCAACTCATCGAATTTTTATAAGAGAATGTGCATTTTTCTTTAAATGCCCACATTGAGCTTCGATTACACTGAAACACCGGAACACAAATCAGAAGACGCTTACCTTCGTGCGGTCAATAGGAAATAACGGATTTTTTACACTTCACATTTCATACTTTCGCCGCCTGATGGGGTGGCGGTGTTTCCCACAGTGGCGGTGTTACCCCCGCTTCCCCTACACATTGTAATTTAATACGACCATCCAGTTTGTGACGATATTAGTTACCTTTATGAATATGTGCAATGTGCATAGAAAGTGTTTCATCAGTCACTGACGTGGTCCGGGTCGGTAATCGACCCATGTCTACTTTGGTTGACCATAAGTACCATTGAAGGTTATTTATCATACACACTTACCTACTGTTAGGTGAGCCTTCAGTATCCGTACTTGATGCAGTGCGGTAACCGGCCATTCGATGGCCGGTTACCGCACATGCAGTGATCTAGGAAAATCTGTATAAAATCAAAACCGTTTGACCTTTTTCTGTTATTTCTTCACAGGTTGATGTGCAATGGAACAATCGATCATGCATATCATTCATTCAACCATTTTGGAAACTGCTTTCCATTTTTTAATGCATTACGGTGCGTTTAATGCATTAGCGAGCCTGTCCAAATAGCCCCACCAACTTTCTGCCTATATGTTTTACGCCACCAGAGATAAACACAACAACTTTATTTGAAAATGTCACTATCGTTTACTTGGAAATAGTCATAGATAATCATCCTGTGATTTTTAGAGCTTAAGATCACATCATATTATGACAGCCCTAGCATAAAATAATGCAATTTTTTAGCAGACCGAAATGCTATGTTCAACGAAAAACGAAAAAATTGATTATGACTATGAGGGTTATATAACTGTAGTTGAAAGAAATACTTTTTGCCAGAAGTATCAAAATTTAGGTAATTTCCAATCGCATGGCATTAAAAGAATTCTCCCTAGCTTGACCAATTTTCTTCAATATCCTTGCAACTAAAACTGTCTCAAATAGCCCCACACTATGGGGCTATTTGAAACAGGCTTCAATTAGAAAAATAACTTTATTTATGGTTACTAGCTGAACCTAAATTGACCTATCTGAAAGCGGTTACAGAGAACTACGTTTTTGCAATTTACATGCAATAGGAAATATCCACCGTTTTGAAGAGATAGGCCAAGAACAGTAAAATCCGTTTCAAATAGCCCCACTTTACGGTATTCACTACAGCGCGGCGGTGCGGCACAGCGAGGACCAAGCTTAATTTGGAAACAATAGTACCACAACGATTACCGAAATATCTGAATGAATGTAATATTTATACTTATCCTCTTGAACAACTACGAAAAAACATGAACATTTACCCTCGCCCGCACATGGGGGGGGGGGGGGGTTGCCACCCCCAGGTAGTTTTTTGCTCTGCACTCAACATTATTTAACCCGTGCCCTGCTAGAGGGGTTTTTGAACCCTGTGGTTTTCGTAAATATCTCAAAAAAACGGCGGCGCGTTTTTGGCACACCTTATCATGCATCAATCTACACATGTTGTAAAAATTTAAGACCAAGGTCATTCAAGGTCAGGTCACCAGATCACTTGAAGTGACCCCACCTCATAAAAAGTTTCAATGTCTGCCATAGCTACACCGAGTGACAGATCGCTTTGAAACTTTCAGCGATTGCTAAGAGCAATAGGTACAAAATGTTTAGGTATCTCAGAATTTTGATATCGATAACCTAAGGTCAGGTCAATTTTGCGACCTGCCCATTAAAAGTCAATGGGAGAAAATTGAAAGGCGTTTTTTTGCACGAAAGCCATTATAAAACTGAATAACAAGTACCTAACTAAGACATACTGAACATGAAAATGATATCTGTGACCCCTGTTTATGCCTCTGAGTTCATCTCAGGTCACGGATGGTATCTATCAGTTTTTGCGAATAACTTTTGATAGAGGCGTGCTAGAGCGATGAAAACGCCTTGGATGTGTTCAACTCGACGATACGGATCGACTGATATGCAACATGCCGATAATACCTAACTCAAAGGCTATGATATCAGTCGGTCGGAACTCACTACAAATAGATGCGCCTTGCTCCACTCCTTCGACTGGGTCTATCATTAAACAAATTATAAGCCCTGTGTGGCAACACATTGCAAAAGTTTGTTTTGGGGGCAAATATAAACTTTTGGGTTTTGTTGCCCAACTGGATGGAAAATGAATACTATGATAATGCCAGTCTAAGGTGCGGAGTCTCGCGCGTCTTGCTGTTACGATTTCCGAGTGACCGATAGCATAGAATTCGCGCTATGCTCGGTTTTGTCGAAAAAAGAATACCTACCACGCAGTTTGCAGAGGGCTGTACCACGAGGTGATTCAAACAGCGCACAAACGACGCGATGCATTTTTATGTGTATTTGGCACTGTAGATTGGGGACAGGACGACTCGGCCTGGCCGCGGGGCCTGCCTCGGCCTGCCCACGTCCGACACACCGCAGACACGTCAGTCCACGTCCGACACATTGGAGACACGTCAGCCCACGTCCGACACACCGCAGACACGTCGGAACACGTCCGACACACCGCAGATACGTCGGAACAGCGGCGCGGTCACGGCTACTACCTGTGAAGTGAAGCCCAATGGCGGCGGAGGTGGTAAGAATGAGACCCCGACCGCACTGCACAGGCCGCGCCGATCACTCACTCACCCACTCACCCACTCACTCACCCACTCACTCACTCACTCACTCACTCACTCACTCACTCACTCACTCACTCACTCATTCACTCATTCACTCATTCACTCATTCACTCATTCACTCATTCACTCACTCACTCACTCACCTACTCATTGACTTACTAAGTCCCTGACCTCACGCACTCACTGACAAACACGCTTACTTACTGACTCACTCACTCCATAACTCAATCACTCACACACTCACTCAATCCCCGACTTCTCTGACTCACTCACTCACTGGTTCACTCACTCACTGATTGACTCAATTGCCAATCACACGCTCACTAACTAACTACTCCTCCGATCACTCAGAAGCATAGGTACTCACTGACTCGCGTTTTTCTCTCAAAGTTTACCAATCTCTCCTATATTTACCGGTTCACTTCATTCTCACTTGTGCTCAGTCTGGGCAATCATCGCTCACAGTTGATAATACATATTCGTAAATGATGTTTTTGAACAGCAAGCTAACTCAGAATAGACAAAAGTCGCGATGCAGACATGTCACTACAAAGGGGTCGCGTTTTTCACCCCCGAGAATACAAAACGCATAACAATCTAAAGCCAGTTTCTGGTATTTTTTAGGTAGGTACACATAACTATAACCTATACAGAAATCTGAAATATGACTCCTTCTCCTTCGGATCAGGATCACCGGTAAAATCAAACAGAGTAAGTTGGGAAGAAGACAACATAACGGTACCTACACTGAGTCGGCACAAAGAGTACGAAGGAAGACGCTACTCGCGGACGTACAGAGCAGAGAATCGGGCTGGCCGGCCGAGGGACAGAGATAGAATACTATCTGGCAGTGCGGATGACCTACACCTTAGTTACATATTGCTGAAAGTGAACGGTTCTGCGCTGCTGAGAGTGATTGTCCGGCCGAGCCAGTCGTGAGCCGGGGCCGGCTGGAGGTCAGCAGAGGCCCGAATCGCCCCCGTTCCACTGCACACCGCACACAGGGTGCCGCACCAGACGGACGCGCACCGGCGCAGACGGTTTGAGCGAGTGTCCATTGAAAACGTCGCCGGTGTATCACAGGAGGCGCGCCGGCCGCACGGGCGTTGTCCGCCCTCTGTTGTACACGGACCGGTGCGCGGCGCGCGCTACCTACGGCCGGTGCCGTGCCGCCGGTCCGGACGGCGGACGGTGGCGAGGCCGCCGCTGCTGACCGGCGCCGAGCCGCTGCTGACCGGCGCCGAGCGACGCCGGCCCGCCCGGCTACTACGGCAGCCAGCCGAGGGAGCGCGCCGCACCGACCTGACTGACGTCCGGTTCCGGACACCGTCCTATCGCGCCGCATCTCACACTGCCACGATCAGGCGGCACTGCGACGAAGGGCGTGGTATCAAACAGCCGCGCGGATGTGCCTCAAAGGTGGCACACGCTGTGCGAATTTCTAGAGCTGTGCGGAGATTGTGCGCGCTGCAACCTGGCACCCCAGCACCTGACACCGGCCCCGGGTCCTGGCACCCCAGCACCTGACACCGGCCCCGGGTCCCGGCACCCCAGCACCTGGCACCGGCCCTGTGTCCCGGCACCCCAGCACCTGACACCGGCCCCGGGTCCTGGCACCCCAGCACCTGACACCGGCCCCGGGTCCTGGCACCCCAGCACCTGACACCGGCCCCGGGTCCTGGCACCCTACCCCCAGCCATAGGTGGAACTTTGTGCCGAGCTGGGGGTGCCCGGGCGCAACAAATCCGCCGCCGCCCTAGCGGTGACCTTGAACTCCACCGTCTGCTGCGGCTCCAAAGCCAAGCCGGCGTGGAATTGGGAGAGCTCGGGCACCCCCAGCTCGGCACCAGCCTCCATCTACGCCCCTAGCACATCTGACGCCAGGCCGCGCCCCGAGCACAGCTAGCGACACCAGCCCCCGGACCCTGACACGCCCAACACATCTGAGACGCCGGCCCCGGGTCGGCTGTGCCGCTCCACCGGGACACATCGGTACACTGCCGTGAGCCAGCCGCCACCCCGTTCCAAGCGACACGCAACATACAGACAGCAACCGCGACGGGCCGGACGGCGGCCCCAGCGCCCCCACAGTCGGCGCCCACCTATCACTCGCCTACAAACCTGGTAATAAAAAGGCGCCGTGCCGGTGCGGCGGACAACGGCGTACGGTCGCGTCCAGCCCGGTCGCGGGCATGTCTCTGAGCAGGGGCCCACTGGCCGAGTCCACGAGTCTCTAGCTCGTCATTCGCACCGCCAGCGAGCGGTATCACCGGCGAGACAGGCAGAGAGAGAGCTCCAGGCCGAGGCGAACCCACGCCCCGGACCGCACCACTGCACACTCAAACACCTGGTAGCCGAGAGGTCGGCTCTTGGAGATCGAACTTGGACCCAGGGGCTCCAGCCCACTGGGCGAGAGATCACATGACACGCCTGCGACTGAAAATAACAGGTCTTGGACCTCGATTGTCGAACCCCCAGTCCGGAGTTCCTGGTGGCCAGTCCTGAGTCGCCGGCGTCGGAGGCGGGCCGGCGGTCTGAGTCCGAGGACCGCGGCCCGTAACCCGTACTGGAGAGGGCAGCCAGCACCGCGCTGACGGCGGCAGGCCGGCCGGCGCCGCCTACCGCCGCGGCGCGTGTCAGTGCGAGTACTCGCGGAAACTCTGCGCCAGCTCCGAGTCGTCCGACTGCGGCGACTCGAGCGTGTAGGACTGGATCTGGGCGGCCGCGGCGGCCGCCGCTCCCGCCGCCGCCGCCGCCGCCGCCGCCCGGCTCGCCCGCGCCAGCGCCCGGTCCAGGAAGTCATCGCTGCGAATAACAGAATCCAAATGTCATATGTTTGTGTGATGGATAATGGACAATGGACAACTTTCAAGCATTCATTATACTAAAATGCTGGGTTAACAAACAACCTCTCTGTCTCGCCGGTGACTGGTGACCTCACCTCTCTGTCTCGCCGGTGACTGGTGTCCTCACCTCTCTGATTCGCCGGTGCCTGATGTCCTCACCTCTCTGTCTCGCCGGTGACTGGTGACCGTCCTCACCTCTCTGTCTCGCCGGTGACTGGTGTCCTCACCTCTCTGTCTCGCCGGTGACTGGTGTCCTCACCTCTCTGTCTCGCCGGTGACTGGTGTCCTCACCTCTCTGTCTCGCCGGTGACTGGTGACCGTCCTCACCTCTCTGTCTCGCCGGTGACTGGTGTCCGTCCTCACCTCTCTGTCTCGCCGGTGACTGGTGTCCTCACCTCTCTGTCTCGCCGGTGACTGGTGTCCTCACCTCTCTGTCTCGCCTATGACTGGTGTCCGTCCTCACCTCTCTGTCTCGCCGGTGACTGGTGTCCTCACCTCTCTGTCTCGCCGGTGACTGGTGTCCTCACCTCTCTGTCTCGCCGGTGACTGGTGTCCTCACCTCTCTGTCTCGCCGGTGACTGGTGTCCTCACCTCTCTGTCTCGCCGGTGACTGGTGACCGTCCTCACCTCTCTGTCTCGCCGGTGACTGGTGTCCGTCCTCACCTCTCTGTCTCGCCGGTGACTGGTGTCCTCACCTCTCTGTCTCGCCGGTGACTGGTGTCCTCACCTCTCTGTCTCGCCGGTGACTGGTGACCGTCCTCACCTCTCTGTCTCGCCGGTGACTGGTGTCCGTCCTCACCTCTCTGTCCCGCCGGTGACTGGTGTCCTCACCTCTCTGTCTCGCCGGTGACTGGTGTCCTCACCTCTCTGTCTCGATGGTGACTGGTGTCCTCACCTCTCTGTCTCGGCCGGTGACTGGTGTCCTCACCTCTCTGTCTCGCCGGTGACTGGTGTCCTCACCTCTCTGTCTCGCCGGTGACTGGTGTCCTCACCTCTCTGTCTCGCCGGTGACTGGTGTCCTCACCTCTCTGTCTCGCCGGTGACTGGTGTCCGTCCTCACCTCTCTGTCTCGCCGGTGACTGGTGTCCGTCCTCACCTCTCTGTCTCGCCGGTGACTGGTGTCCTCACCTCTCTGTCTCGCCGGTGACTGGTGTCCGTCCTCACCTCTCTGTCTCGCCGGTGACTGGTGTCCGTCCTCACCTCTCTGTCCCGCCGGTGACTGGTGTCCTCACCTCTCTGTCTCGCCGGTGACTGGTGTCCTCACCTCTCTGTCTCGCCGGTGACTGGTGTCCGTCCTCACCTCTCTGTCTCGCCGGTGACTGGTGTCCTCACCTCTCTGTCTCGCCGGTGACTGGTGTCCTCACCTCTCTGTCTCGCCGGTGACTGGTGTCCTCACCTCTCTGTCTCGCCGGTGACGGCCGTGCCGTCGTCGGTGTACGGCTGACTGGTGCCCTCCGAGGTGCCGCTCAGCTTGTCCGATGGGGAGCCGCTGGCTGGCTCTCGGTAGCGCCCCAGTACGAACCCTGCAGCGCTGAACTCGCTCCTTCGCCTGCCGAGCGCAGCGCGGCCGTCAGAGGACTGCAGCGCGGCCGTCAGAGGCCTGCAGCGCGGCCGTCAGAGGACTGCAGCAGGGGGCCTATCAGCACCGACAGAGGGCCCCGGAGCGGGGGAACGTGGGGTGGACGGGGGGGGGGGGGGGCGTCAGAGGCCGCGGGAGCAGGAACCGGCTGTCAGAGGCCGCGGGAGCAGGAACCGGCCGTCAGGACAGGGGTGGCTGTCAGAGGACCGCAGGAACAGGACAGGGGTGGCTGTCAGAGGACCGCAGGAACAGGACGGATAGGTCAAAGGTCAACAGAACAGCAATGACATGGGACCAGCGTGACACAGGAGTGTCCGACTGACCCGGAGGAAGACGAAAAAAGCCGAACTATCAGCTGTCCGAGTAATACGTCTCTCTCTAATACGTAATACGGCCGGGTTACATCTCTTTTGCTTAAGATCAACTATTTTAAGAATTAGTTTTACTTATGGTTTTTTGAATGTTCGGATGAATTGAAGCCCAAAAGAATGGTTAAAACGGTGCAACATAAAAACATACAAGCATAACATTTTTGACAATTTTTTTCCATCATTTAAACTCATTCGACTGTCCGAGTTCAGTCAAACGCTGCTCCTCACATGCTCCGTAGGCCTACATTGTGACCAGTTGTAATGGGTAGGTTCTATACGGTTATCATGCATGCATCAAACTGTTCACAATAAATATGTTGCCACTTATCTTTCACAAACTGTACGCATAAAGGTAAAGGTAAACCTTTGCGACATATTTTCGCGATACCATAGGTAGATAATATATATGGACGTATGGCAGTATTCAGATTTTTAATTGTAGCATACAATTCCGCCGTATATACCATCTAATATACAGCATCTAGGCAGGGGCGGATCCAGAAAATCTCCAAGGGAGGGGCCATTAGAAACCAGGAGGCCCCCCCCATAATCCCACCTGTTGGAGGCCCCATCTTCCCACTTGTTGCCCCCCCCCCCAAAAAAAAACTGCGTCTATTGAGCTTATCTAGCTGTTCAGGCAACATCTCAACATCTGTGCAGGCTTGGAGGCCCTCTGTGCAGGTTAGGAGGCCCTGTAAAAGTGGTCATCTCTGTGAGTATAAGAGACCTCCAAGTTATGAAAAGCTTTACCAATCTTCTAACAAAGAAGTCTTCTCAGCTAGTCTTCTAAGAAATAACTAAGTGGGTAGGTTAAAAAAAAAAAACTCATCGGATTTCGGCCACTTTATTTTCAGGAGGCCCCCTTTTCAGCTTTTTAACTTTTTAACTTTTTATTTTATTTTTGAAAAAAAAATCGGCCAAGGGGGGGGGGCCATGGCCCCCATGGCCCCCCCCCCTTGTATCCGCGCCTGCATCTAGGTCTACATAGCATCTAGTGTAGTATCTTGTATTGATCAGTCTGAATGATTTAGGTGAATAAGAAACTTATTTTGACTGCTCACAGCAAACAATACCTAACTGATCTGATATCCTGTCGAATTTGACTTAATTGCATTTTCCAATTTTGATATTCGGCAGAGGACTGCAAAATTTAGCTTACATGCTCTCCAGTAATACGGAGAGCATGTTCTATATTACTAGAGACTAGTTTTAAATAGTCTGATATATTTTCGGGGCATAAAAATACCTACATGTTTCCCCAACGGCCTGCAATATGCTCTCTGTATTACTGCGGAAAACTTAAGCAAAAGTAATGCCTACAAGCTAATGCGCATCCATAGCTACACCGCAGCTTCAGCAATTGGTCTCTACTCTATGTGGAAAGCGAGCGACGTGCAGGGCAGTGTTAATGCAGCGAGGCGTTTGACCGCTAGGGTACCAGGTACCTGCTCAACTGCTGACTGACGATAATTATTCAATGCATATTGTGATTAAAGTGGCGAAATCGGGAGCTGTTATGAGTCTCGATTAGCGGATTTTATCCGGTGTTTTATGGTGACGTGGACGTCAGCAAGGTAATCATGAAGCAGTAAGAAATAACTATGATTTGAGCCGTTTTCAGGCACAGATTTACCTTCAACTGCTTGTGGGGCGCTTTTGACCACACTATTCAGTTTTTTTTGTTGCTTATTCGAAAAAGATCGCGGCGAGCAGTGCCGTGAAACTCATTGTATCTTATCAAACATCAATTTCGCATCGTGCGCAATTTTTTTTTATCTGAGGTCATCTAAAGTCAGGTCAGGTTAGCCCGCGCGGGGCTGGGGTCTCCAGCGACCAGCCGAACGAGAGGGGCTGGGGGGGGGGGTAAATTTTACCCCCCCTGTTATCTCCCGAACTAATGGTCCGATTTGGAAAATTCAAACACCAATCAAAAGATCTCATCACGAAAAACTAAAAACATGTACTTAATTTAAAGTTTGAGGTCAAGGTCAAGGTCAGGTCAAGGGTACAACTTGAAAGTTTCTACAGTATCGGCCTTGCACCGTAGTTGCCGAAGAATGGAGTCATGGACTGAGACTGATTGCCCAAAACGTGTTCTTAGGCTACCAAAACAATATTCCTTGCATACAATATCATTCAGAGGTCAAGGTCAAGGTCAGGTCAGGTCAGGTCAGGTCACCAAAAACAAAATGTAGAAAAGGGCATGTGCGACACATGTTCTATGGGTCATTTTATTAATAGAATTCAAAAGGCACACTCAATAGGTGATATGGACCACATCTGGATGAATTTCAGGTCAGGTCAAGGTCAGGTCAAGTGAGGTCAAATTTTTAAGTTGGTTGTTAAGGCCTAAAAAGGTGTCTATCTGATGCAGTTTTTCACGGCGAATCGAATAGTGCTATTTTTGTTTCCGTACGAGGTCTAGAACTTCAAAAAAATCATTTTTTTTTCAAAAAAAATTGTTTGTCGTGACGTCATAAACTTTGAATAACTTCCACATTTTTGAACCGATTCTTCTAAAAATTGGTATGTAGGTGCACATATACCACTTCTCTGACATATATTCCGGTTTTTTCGATACATGCAATATTTTAGATTTTATAATTATTTTCCCAAAAAAGTCAGTTTTTTTAGAGAAAAAATTGGGCCAAAATCAAAATTTTTCAACAAACCGAGATAGCCATTTAATAGACAAAGTAGAATCACGTATAGGTAACCTTTTTTGTTACGTCTTGATTCCCTTAAAAATGAAGATGTTAGCGGCGTTTGAAATTTTGCCGTTTTTGAGGCGAAAATGGCGAACATGACGTCACTAAAACGTCATTTTCTAAAAAAAATTCCGAGGGATTTCACTTAAAATTTCAGGGAACGTGTCAAATAGATGTAAGAAAAGGTACTGAAAGTTTGGCGGCGCTGCGCGCCGCCGTTTTCGAGATATTGCAAAAATTCGTGAGGGGGTAAAATTTACCCCCCGGCCCCGCGCGGGTTAAGTAACCATGCCTGTAAAAAAAAACTTTGCGACCCTGTCATTTCGAATTTCAATGGCTTGCCTTTTAAACCTTCGAAATTCCTTAAATTGTATGAGAGTATCAAATATCAATGCCAACGTGTACACCTCGAGTTGTTATGTATGGGCCTGAAATCTGGTTAGCTTTGTGACACCTCACCATTATAAGGGAATGAAGGACGCGTACAAATGTGTTCTGCTTTGAACAAACACATCAAACCACAAGCTATTTTCAGAAACATGACCATTCCACCCATATGCAATGGACAGCATTCAACTAATGGGCGGTGGTCGCTCAGAGGGTTATGTTACGTAATAAAAGGTCACCAACAGTTTTTCGCGAATAGCTTTAATAATGGAAACATTGTGATGGTATGGCGGTGAAATCACGTGGAATGTGTTCAGCTCATCAATACCTACGAATCGGTAAATATGCAAAACGTCCTTTTCCGATCGGGTCATAAGCTTGATCTGAGATCACTTTTGAAATTGACATTTAAAGTTCAACTTCTACATAGTTCATTTGATGCGTATCAAAGAGAGAAACACAATGGTGCTAAAATATGATGCAATTATTGACGCGAAAGTAACAGCAAAAATTGTTGGTAAAATTGCTTCAGCAAAATCCATCTATTTTGGCGGTTTTGCCCTCTTTGGGTCAGTCGACAGACCGTTGATCTGAGGTCGAATCTGAGGACATGGTAGCGAAATAGCTTCGAAAGGGCTATCGAATTCGCTTTTCGGCGACTGTAGCTCTTAATCTTCTTCACGAGGTATGCACCGATTTGCAAAAATTGTTCAAGTCGGGAATATTTCTCGTGATAATTTTACATTTGGTGTCCTCCAATGACCTCAGCAATGGTGTGGTCGAAAAATGACCGTGTGATTCTCAAGGTTCATGTAGCGAGCTATCTACCTACCGATTGTCTTTCGCGTTTTCAGATTTTGTTAATTTTCGAGATAAGCAGGTGTGGCCAAGGTAGGGAAATTTTGGCCCCCCTAAGATCTCAAGAACCACACAACATAGCGACAAAAAGCAAACGGCGTTGGATAGCCCCAACGGGGAACTACCTAGTGACCCAACTTTATTGACCTCGGCCTAGCCGATGACGTCACAAGTCAGGTCAAATGTCGAATTTTCACCGTTTACAGGGTTTTCAAGGAATGTAAAAACGAATAAAACGCGTGTCATTGAAAATCATCGATGCAGAATTGTCCATAAAACACATATTTTGCTATTTGAGGTCACTGATACCAGGTCAGGTAACAGAGGTCAGGACACTGAGGGTCAGAATATGAAAATATCATGTGATGCATGTTTTCACTGGCGGATCCAGGGGGGGGCCACGGGGGCCATGGCCCCCCCCAAAGGCCTAAAGTGGCCTGTTTGGCCCCCCCCCCAAAACGTCAGAAAAATTTCTAAGAAAATATACCTTGATGGAGGTTTTTAGCCACTTGGTGAAGTAAAGTTTCCACAGCATAATATGGAAGCAATATGGTAGCAGTGAGGGTCAGTCAAAAGTTGCGCGAGCGGAGTCGACCTTCAAAAAAAGACTGTTGTTGGCACGTGTTTATGGCGCGGCAGCTGGTAG